TCTCTCTCTCTCTCTCTCTCTCTCTCTCTCTCTCTCTCTCTCTCTCTCTCTCTCTCTCTCCCCCCCTACACTCCCGATGCAGGCAGTCCGTCGCCTCGCACCAACTCAGAGTTGTCACCCCGCTTGGCTCCAGCATGCAAGCCAGGTTCGCCCGTGCGCCACAATCCGTCGCGGCCCCACACGTCAACCCCGCATACCCGACACCAGCTCGTCGGATCGCCCAACTCTCTCCCCGACTCACCTCTCAAGCTGACTCGTTAGCCGACCCTCACCGATCACGCTAACTCCAAGGTTCTTAGAAAACAAACTAATCGCACTTGCAAAATTTATAGCATTCATGCTTGCGTGAAAGGTACGGGATTAAGCCCAAAAGGTCGGGAGGAGAAAAGAAGAAGTGCCTACGTCTGCATGGCCAGGCCGCGGCGTGGGGGTCGTAGCCACACTCCGCGCATCGATCCGGTCATGCAGGCGTTTTAGACCAATTAGAACAGAGTATGCAAAGCGAGGAAGAAGGAGAAGGCGGGTAAACACGAGGAAACCAAGAAAGAAGAAAGGTACAGTTACAATCGCGCCCGCCAAAAACGACAGTTCGCGCCCGCCAAAAACGACAGTTACGCATGATTAAGGACGTGATCCAGTCAGACCCCAATTCCTAGTGTCGCGAGATGTGTGCGAGTAAGAAGCACGGCGTAGCAGGATTCAAAGTAGCTAAATTCCTAGCCTAAGTCCTAATTGCAAAAAGGAAATTCCTAAGAGCCCCAAAACAATTCCGCGAGCCCGTGGGGGCTCGACGTCAGATGAAAATTCAAAAAACGACATTCTCGGGCGATGATCGGGCCAAAAATTCCTAGTATTCACAGCAGAACAAGAAAGAGGTCATGGAAACCGTTGTCCATCGCGCTCGCTAAGGCGCGATTACCCAATCGTTGGCGCTGGACTTTCCCGATACCGACCCGACAAATTTCCACAGGAAACAAAAAGAAAAGAGGGCATCCATGCAATCAGTCCAGCCAACCCATCTTCCCGCAACTCACCCATCCGACCCGTCTCTTTTTCCCAAGCCAGCTTCGCGCAGAAAGTCGCGCGATTACAGAAAATGATTCGTCACATATGTAACGCCCAGGGGGTTCCAATCTTGAGCAAGCTCCCGCTTCCTCACACACTTCATGCGTTGATCTATTAACCTGATGATCGACGCGGAGCTCACACATGCCACTTACCGTAGGATCTGAGTGTGGAAGTCATTCGACGTGGCATACATGTGCTGAATCCAAAATGTTGCCTGGGAAAGGCAATTTAATTACGGGTGGGGGAGGTGGTGGATAGACTTGAGGGAAAGGAGGCACGAAGCGCCTCATCACTAGAAGGGAGTGAGACGTAATGAATGGAGCGATGGATGCGAGGAAAACGAGGGTGCCGACGTTAATGGGGGAGAGAGGCGAGGTAGTCAGGGTAGAGGGTGCAAAGGGTGCGGCGGATGGCAGCGTGAAAATCGTCATATTCTTCGCGCGCAGGGATTGTGCCTGCGATGACGCAATAAACATCTATATGATTATACTCCTGCCAATCCACGCTAAAAAGAAGGACGTGGAGGGGGAAATAAGTGACAGGCGAGCGAGTAGCAGAGTGCGGGAAGATGGTGACCAGAAGGCGGGTGGCGTAGCGGTGGTGAAAGAGGGAGAGTGGGAACGACTGCCTCCCATCAGAGAATGGGGGTCGCCCTGAGAGTTGTCGGAGGGTGAGGAAGTCATGGGGACGATGGGATAACTACCAGGGACGAAGCCCGTGTGCCCTCATTTGGATGTAAACGAAGGCCTGCGGGTCGAACTGGGGAGGATTGAGAGGAAGATTGACTTTTTCGACGACACCGGCTTCTTGATCCCTCTGCGGTGGCGCCTCCATCTCTTTCGTCTTCTTCTCGCGGCAGTTCTGGATTGCGCGCCGGATAGCCCTGCAGCAGTTGCGGTGGTGGCCCTCCTCATTCTTCGATCGACCGCTTTCCTTCTACTGTTGCCCGTCTCCTCTGCGCCACGACCTCTCTTTCTTCCTGGCTCAGCTCGTCGGGACCGCTTGACTCCCCCGATCTACCTTCTTCTTCCTCCGATTTCGCCCACCCTGAATTGACCTCTTCTGACTCGGCGTCCTCCGATTCGTGATAATCAGGATCGTCTGACTCGG